AAAAAAAAAAAAAAAAAAAAAAAAAACAGGTATGATGGGACTGGAGAGATGGCTCAGTGGTTAAGATTAGCTGGTTTCTAGCAGAGGACCTGGGTTTCATTCCAAGAATGCACATGGTGGCTCTCAAGTGTATGTACCTCCACTTGCAGGGCATCCAACAACACTGTCAACTTCTTCCAATATCAGGCATGCATAGGATGTCCATACACACAGGGAAAAGCTCACATACATGAAGTAAATAAGTAAATCTTTTTAAAATTTCCTACATACATAGATACAATGTGTCACTTTTTATTTAAAAAGTTTTTCAGGCAATGTAGTTTGATCATGTTCTTTCCTTTCCCCCAACTCCTCCCAGACTCTTCCCACCTTCCTACCTGCCCAACTTCATGTTCTTTCTCTGAAAAAAAAAAAAAAATTAAAACTAAAACTAAACAAACCAAAAACAATTTAAAAAAGAAACCACCAAAACACACACACACACACACACACACACACACACACACACACACACACACACACACAAGTCCATTTTCTGTTGGCCATCTACTTCTGGGCATAGAGTTTGCCCAAGAGTGTGGTTGACATACCTAACAACTGTCCAGTGGAGAAAACTTGATTTTCCTTTTCTCAGCAGGTATCACTTGCTTCTCGCTTAGAAATGGGATTTTGTGGGCACTTCCCCTTGTCAGTACGAAGATTTCGTCTATGTTTAAACCTGTCTTGTGCATGCTGGCACAGCCTCTGTGGGTTTTATATCAGTCCTGTTGTAAGCAGACTTTCTCTTTCCTAGGAGCCATCCACTCCCTCTGGCTCATACAATCTTTTTGCCTCCTCTTCCACAGAGATCCCTTGAGGGGAGGGGTTTGAAGAAGACACCCTATTTAGGGCTTAGGGATCCAAAGTCTCTCACTATCTGTCCAGTCGCAGGTGTCTCAGTTAATTACCAGCAAGAGGCTCGTCTGATGAGGAGTCCACCAAATGCTGGTCTGGGAGAAGGTTCTCCATATTTGAAGCCTTTTAAGCTTTTTTTCCAGTGAATTTTCAGGTGTTTAAGTTAGATGACTAAAGGACATCCCGCATTCATGACTCCCGCTCATCTACTATGAACCTTCTGATGTTTATAGAGGCCAGAACTATAGCAATACACTTTGTCACACTCCTTGCACTTATATTGCTTTGTTGCCGTGTGAACTCGCTCATGTCTAAGGAGGCTGTAACCTGAAGTAAAGGCACTCCCGCACTCACTGCACACGAAAGATGTGTTATGAACTCTCTGGTGTTTCACAAGGTGACAATTTTGGATGAAACGCTTTCCACATTCACTGCACTGGAAAGGCCTTTCGCCATTATGCACTCGACCATGATAAAAAAGGTTGGATTTTTCCTTGAATGACTTTCCACATTTATCACACTGATAGGGCTTTTCACCAGTATGAAGTCGATAATGACTTACAAGGCTGATTCTGTTCCTATATGATTCCCCACATTTGCTGCACACAAAGGGCTTTTCTCCAGTATGAACTCGATAATGACATATTAAGCTGGATTTGTTCCTATATAATTTCCCACATTGACTACACTTATAAGGCATTTTTCCATTGTGAGCATTCAGATGATGAGTGAGAGAGCTTTTATAATTGAAAGCTCTTCCACACTTAGTGCATTGAAAACGCTTTTCTCCAGTGTGAGTGCTCAAGTGTACAACAAGATGGGCATTTTGGCGGAAGGATTTCCCACACTGACTGCATTTAAAAGGCCTCTCTCCAGTGTGTATTTTCTGGTGTCGAATAAGCCGGAACTTGTAACTAAAGGCTTTGCCACACTCAGTGCATTTGTAGTTTCTTTTCTTGGTGTGAATGGACTCTGCATTCTCAGAGCTTCTGTGTGGCTGCCTGGCACTGGGGGTCATCGGAGACTCAAGAAGATTTGAGGACTCCTGGAAGTCCACCACATCGTTTGTGCTTTGTGAAATCTTCTCTGGCGGGCCACTTCTGTTGGTCTTCATGGCTGGGATCCTGATCTGTTCTCTTTGTAGGGGTTCATCACCACATGTCAGCTTCTGCTGTTTAAGCATGGCTGTGTGAATCCCTTGTTCTGCAGAAGTACTCTGCTCAATGGGCGATGTCTCGCCCTCTCTGTTCCAATATCCTGAACATAGAGAAATACTGATGAATGGATAGAGAGCACAGAGTGACAGACAACACATATTGTTAACAATGATGTGACATTCTTCACCAAACAACGGGGATAGCGCAGGGTAGTAAGGGTCCATTACCATGCTGAAATTGTCAGGATCATAGTTTTCTAGGGGCCTTAGGGGCAGCAAGCACACAAGCATGGAGCAAAGTACAGGAGAAGAGGTGCAACCATAACACACTCATTGGCAAATGGCTTTCTGTAAGCCCCAGCTGTTGGAGATGCAGGACACAGTGCAGAAGGCTGTGTCTAGGCCAGTAACACAGGATAACCAAAGAATCTACATTCAAGGACTGCTCGGGGTAGACCGTGCACTAACAACACAATCAAGGAAATCCTGTGTTTCACACTGTTGCAAAGACTGATCCATGAGGAGCAGCTTTGGTTTAGAATAACAAGGAAAACTGAGATAGAATCTGCCATTATCCTTTGCCTTGGTACTAAAACATCAGAACCAGTAGAAAGATACTTCATATGAACTCATCCTGAGTGCATGCATAAGCAACATCCACCCTCCAAGTACCTGTCCACATACCTGGAGTCAGGAATCTCAGCGCATGGGTGAAGGGATCTCCTGAAGACTCCAGGTGAGTGATGCCACAGATCTCAGAAGGTACAAGTCCTAAAGTCAAACATAGGACAAATGAACATTCCATAGTAGATAGAATAGAGAGTGATGCAAACCATGACAATCCATAGGGAAGGAAATTAGTAAGAATGATCCTTAGAGAAGTGGCTTGCAAGAAAAACCCATCAAACAATGATCACAGTAGTGTAACAATCTTCCTTCAAGAAGGGTGTGCCTGTGGCAGTGATTGTACCTGGGTAATAGGAATGCCATGTATTTACAGTATTATCAGGCCATGAAAGCCATCAAGTTGACCTCTGTTATGCTCACTATATGGCTCCCGATCCCACATTGCTTCCTACAGACCCTTCTGTACTCAAGAGCAAGAGATGATGGAAATGTGGCTTGGAGCCCAGGATTATCATCTGTATCCTGTACTCCAGGATGGTGGGAAAAGATTCACTGAATATTGTGTAGCTTTGGGAAATTACATCCCTCTGTAGAAACGAAGTCAAGCCCATCAAAGACATGTTCTGACAAGATGGGAATGCCCTTACCCAATGAGGTCACCATAACGAAGATCTCCATCATTACTCTGCAGTACAGGAACCTCTGAGAGTCATCAAGAAGTGTCCATTCTTCCTCTGAGAAGTAGATAGCCACGTCCTTAAATGCCACACAGTCCTGCCACAATGAGGATATATGAGTTCATATGATGCCTTCTTCTGTGGCACTCTAGCCATCTCCAAAACGGTCATTTACACTTAGCTTTGTACTTCTGAGAGCACCAAGCTCTGAAGCCACAGAAATCCAATCTCTCAAGGTACCTTTGGCCACTGTGGTCAACAGTCTAAGCTAACAGGTAGATGGGCAGAAGAAGTCCATCTATTCTTACAGTATTACATCAAAAGGCCCTTGTTTCACATGGGCTCTGACAGATGACCTTACCACATATGACCAGATTTGTACCATTGTACTATGCCAAGGCACATGGGCTTGGAGGCCATTTATGCACACTCTCAGCACACACCTTACTATTCACTCTACCTGTGTTTCTATTCAGCATTCGAGTCCAGGTGCTTAGTTTGTGAGCCATGTTACACCTCCTGTCTTTTCACTGAATCCAACAAAGACCATGCACATCTGTGGATTTCTGAGCATTCTCAATCCATCTCAGTACCAGGCATTCTTTATACCTTTTTTCCTTTTCAGGTCCAGGCTTTCTATAATGGTAGTCACTGGAATTTTTTTTCTTTTCTTTCTTCCTTTCTCTCTTTCTTTCTTTTTTTTTTTTTTTTTGGTTTTTCGAGACAGGGTTTCTCTGTAGCCCTGGCTGTCCTGGAACTCACTCTGTAGACCAGGTTGGCCTCAAAATCAAAGAGATCTGATTTTCTTTGCCTCCTGAGTGCTGGGATTAAAAGCATCCATGCCCAGAGTCATAACTAGAATTTTAATGCCTCTGATTTTAAGAGTTCTGCCAAAAGTGGGAAACTCTGCAGGCTAATCTTATGTCAACTTGACACAGAAACTAGAGTTATCTGAAAGGAGGGAACCTTAACTGAGAACATGCCACCATAAGATTCAGCTGTAGGGCATTTTCTTAATAAGTGATAGGTGGGAGAGAACCCAGCCCGTTGTAGGTGGTTCCACCCCTGGGCTGCTGGTCCTGGGTTCTGTAAGAAAGCAGGCTGAGCAAGTCATAGAAAGCAAGCCAGTACACAGCACTCCTCCATGACCTCTGCATCAGCTCCTGCTTCCAGGTTCCTGCCCTGTTTGAATTCCTGTCCTGACTTCCTGTAATGATGAACAGTGCTGTGGAAATATAAGACATAAATCCTTCCCTCCCCAACTTGCTTTTTGGTCATGGTGTTTCTTGTCAAAGCAACAGAAACTCTAAGACAGAAGCTCTACATATAGTCCGGGACCCTGGGACCTTATATTCAGTAATCATCTTCCCTGGCAGGTATATAAAGAATAGAACAGCAAGCAGAGTCCCAAGCCACGTCAATCTCAGAGGTCACTAAAGAGGGGACAAAACAGGGTACATAATGGGGCACTGTCTGTTGCACGGATCCTAAATGGTCTTATAATAAAAACTCAGAGCCAGATATCAGGGTGAAAGCTGAAAGATCAGAGAAGCAGAGCGAGCTACCTCTTAACTCCCCAACCCCTCAGCCTGCAAGAGCCTGAAAAGACCTGAGTTCCTGTCTCCTCCCACCTTATGTTCCTTTCTCTGCCCAGCCATATCACTTCCTGTCTCAACCTTCCTAGTGCTGGGATTAAAAGTGTGTGATCCCAAGTGCTGGAGTTAAAGGTGTGTGCCACTATTGCCTGGCTGTTTCTCTTTTAGACTGGATTAATCTTGTGTAGCCCAGTGTGGCCTTGAACTCACAGAGACCCAGACAGATCTCTGCCTCTGCCTCCTGAGTGCTAGGATTAAAGGCCTCTGCCACTACTGCCTGACCTCTATGGCTAACTCTGTCCTCTGATCTTCAGGCAAGGTTTTATTTCTTAGGCTACAAGCAACATATCACCACAACTGTCTACTTACCCCTTCCCCATTGCTAGGTGTCACTGAACCAAGAGGAAACTGGGAAATAACTTGAAGCTGTGAGCAACAAGCAATGGCGTTGGTATCCCCAAGGCTCATTTAAGCCCTCAGATCTTAAGTACCTCAGTAAGGTACACCCAACTGGCACCTGAAGCCCAGTCCTCAATGCGATCTCTTTCTGCATGCTCTTGGGTAAGGAAACAATGTCCTCAGTCTTGTCTCTTGGCACATAAGGAGAAGAACGGTACCCATGTTGCCTGGTGAAGAGGTGCACATCTTTAATTCCAGCACTGGGAAGGAGCAGACATGCTTATCTTTGAGTCTGAGGACAGCCTGCTATCTACAATGATTAGTGAGTTCAAGGACAGCTGGGGCTACATAGTAAGATCAAGTATAAAAAAAATTGACACCCATGTGTTTATGAACATTACATGAATATTATTAGGTCACACTCGGTCCCATGTGTTACTTAGCACAGTACTCAGCAAAGGTGCTTCCTACACACATAATTACTTTTTGGAAGTGTTTGAGCAGAAAGCCAGATGTCGTGGCAGAAGCCTTTAATTTAAACACTCGGGAGGCAGAAGCAGGTGAATCTGTATGAATTTGAGGACAGCCTGGTCTATATAATGAGTTCAGAATGGCTGGCTTTATCTATGTATATTTAATAAAGAATAATACTACACCAGGCAAGGTGGCACAGCCTTTAATCACAGCACCCCCGAAGCTGAAACAGGTGGAATTCTGTGAATTCGAGGCTAGCTATAATTGGTCCATATAATGAGCTCTAGACCAGCCAGCGCTACAGAGTGTGACCTTGTCTGAAATGAAACAAAATAAATACAATAATCAGCACATAATCAAACATTGAATATGCTTTTAAGCAATGTTAGGCGCTTACAATAATGTTATATCCATGATAACATATACATATGCGTGTATATCTATAGATATATATCCATCAATAGAGTCTTATTATGCATGTATGGCTATCCTTGAACTCACAGAGATCAGCCAGCCTCTGGGACCTGAGTGATGAGATTAAATTTTTGTGCTCCCCATTCCAGTCATGCTGTCTTCATTGCTACTGTTTGATTATGGATCTTGACCAGATCCTGTTGAAATGGATACCTTTTGATGTGCTAAGTTCCACAGTCCAGAATCCTACACTCTATGATAAACTTCAAGCCTGCACCCAAAATCTACATAGTGGAGGCTTTCCTAACTCTAGATCTTCCTTCACCTCAGCTCCCACCTGATGTAAGACTTTGTGATTTTTTTGTTTTTCGGAGACAAGGTCTCTCTCCATAGCCCTGGCTGGCCTCAAACTCACAGAGAGCCTCCTGCCTCTGCTTCCTGAGTGCTGGGCTTATGTGCATCAATCACCATACCTGGCTGATACAAGACGCTTAATATTCTCCTTCCCAGACATCAGCCCAGGCTCTGTGTTGGCCCTGGCGTCCGTGGACCGCCCTTATTTATCCCCACCTCACACACTTCCCTCAGAACTCCAGAAGCGAATGAGCAAGCTTCCCATATGGCATTATCATTCTGAGACTTTCAATATCCCCAAGGATGAAGTGATCTCAATATGTGAAATTGCTGCAGCACAAACTCCCAATCAAAAACAAACAACTCACCCTTTAATATCAATTTCGAAGCTGCATTTGCCCCAGCAGGGTGCCCTGATAGCTCAGATTTTTGTTGTTGTTGTTGTTGTTGTTTTTTTTTTGTTTTGTTTTTTGAGACAAGGTTTGGGTGTAACAGTCTTGGAACTCACTTTGTAGACCAGGCTGGCCTCGAACTCAGAGACCCGGCTGCACGTCTCCCAAGTACTGGGATTAATGGCGTGCGTCACCACTGCCCAGATAGCTCACATTTTAAAATCCGTCTAGAGATCCGATCTCTTCTCTCCACCTTTATCTATGGTCCACACCCACCCCTACTTTTGCGCACAAGATTACAGACATCGCAGGTCTCTGTTTTGTCTCCACCCACAACATTCCGATTCCTCCAGGAGGGTTGAAGTTTTGAGAAATAGATCGAGCGTCTCCCGGGTTGCAAATCTGTAGACACCAGCACCTTCACAAATCTAACTTAGCTGCTAGGTGGCGCTGAGCTCCAAGCCTGCCTGCAAGCCTTGGGAGGTACACTCCATCTCGATGTTCATTAGGGTCAGATGGACTTCCCAGTACGCAGGTGTCTGAAAGGAGACTCAAGTAGTCCACCTCTGAGCCAACATACCACACAGTCTAGGATCCCTTGCCCTGCCCTGCCCCGCAGGCTCTTGACTCCAGGGCCCTCTCCCCGAGCTCTTGGATTCAGGTAGGTCCAGGATCACGTGGCACTTACCTGGGGCTGTGGTCCTTGCTTAGCGACCGCCATCAGCCTCTGCTGGCCAGCAGGGGACAGGGACTCAGGCGTCTTTGAACCAGGCACTCGGCGGATCAACACAAGGGTGCCGCAGACGTCAGACACACCTTGGTACCAGACGATAAGGCTCTACTCCTTTGGCAACTTCCTGCCCTGGACTACTCAATGTGATACCGGTTTTCTGTGCAACAGGGTAACCCAAGTAGGAACTTTGAAAAGAATCTTTTGCCAGCAACGCTAAAAGGCCCGCCCAACACGTTTCGCAACAATGGAAATGTCCATTTTGATTGGCTGATCTTAAAAAAAAAGTTTCACCTCACAACAGCCCTGGCTGTACCACACTCTGTGCCAGGCCTTAAGCTCTGGAACAGCTGGCCAACACAAAAGGGACTCCTTGGGGTTTTGTTGTTGGTGGTGGTGGTGGTAGTGTGTATGTGTGTGTATGCACCCCTCCCCCCCTTTTTTTAAATCAAGAAAGTATATAAAGTTGGGTGGGAGGTGGGAGGAGTTTGTGAAGGGGAAAAAATTTGACCAATATATTGAATGAAAAATTAAAAATTAAATTTGCTCAGCCAGTGAAAACGGGTGTCTCTGTAACTAAAAATAGTTTCGGATCAGACTTACCTGTGTTGCCTGCAGGGGATCCCTTTCAAAGTTCCTGGATGGGTTGGTCAGATCTGCACAAACTGGTTTACCCTGTATTGACCAGGACAGGAAAGCAGGAGAGGACGAAGTCCGAGCCACTCCAAGTGACCTGCTCAAGCCTTCGGTAGCGACGGCCAAGTTCTTCTGCCTTGCTTTCCAAAAGAGTCCCAGTGTAGGAGCATGTCAGGATGCCTGTATCCAGTGAATTTTGACTGATCCCTGACCTGACTGCTTGATTGTCCCAATGTAGGAGCATGTCAGGATGCCTGTATCCAGTGAATTCTGACTGATCCCTGACCTGACTGCTTGATTGTCCCGAGGTGTACGTCATAAACTGGAACACAGTGCCATGATCCCATATAGGGACTCATCCTGGTAGCCTGGAAGGGAGAGCTTCATCTTTGCCACTCTAGGATTGGGGATTTCTCCTCTGCACCGAGGCCTGTTAAGGCACTTGGGGACTACAATCTAAATTCTAGGTCTAGATGGAGAATTGATTTTTTTTTTCCTTCGAGACGAGAGTTTCTCTGTGCAGCCCAGGCTATCCTGGAACTCACAGAGATCCTCCTGCCTCTGTCTTCCCAGCTATTTATTTATTTATTTTTGGTTTTTTGAGAAAGGGTCTGTCTCTCTGTGTAGTTTTGGTCCCTCTCCTAGAGCTCACTCTGTAGCTCAGGCTGGCCTTGAACTCACAGAGATCCGCCTGACTCTGCCTCTGAGTACTGGGATTAAAGGCGTGGGCCACCACAGCCCTGCTTTTAAAAGTTAATTCAGGGGCCGGGCGGTGGTGGCGCACGCCTTTAATCCCAGCACTCGGGAGGCAGAGGCAGGCGGATCTCTG